ACAAATTACAATATATAATATATATTATTCAAGTGGCGACTTTTAGCATGGATTTATAAAAAGATAAAATTATCCGGTTTTGGAAGTTAAAAGCACTTGAGAAATAATCAGTTAAGATTGTCTGAAGGGTGGAATATATATAAATAATACATATAAAGGGTCATTTTATATAATGTTGTAAGACAAAAAAATATTATACGCAATATAAATATTTATTACTAAATAATGAATGAAAAGTAAATTTGGCGAAGGCGCTCGACATTAGTATTATCGTGTTAGTATTGCAGTCATTTAACTGACTCAAATTATTCAAGACTATATTCTAAGCCTAAATACCTTTAAAATTTGCAACCTGGAGTTGAAAATTATTTTCTTTATTAGTTTTTTAGTAGTTTTTGCAAAGGATTGTTAATTTTCCGTTATTTGTGTACAATTTATCATCATAAGATCGTCAGGCCTAAGACACTCATCTTCACTTCTTTCTATTCTGAGCTAATCTTCGCATTTCCCTAAAACTACAACATCCCACATCGTTAACTATTTGTGAACAGCAATCTAACCTAGGTCTACCTCTACTCTGGCTAGACCTTTATATCTGGGAAAGTGCCCTACTAACCTATCTCGTCTATCTGTTATTAACTTCTATAGAGTCCTCTGATTTCCTATTCTTTCTAATATCTCTTCATTTCTAACCTTCTCTATCCATGGTATCCTCATCATAGAAGGACCCTGCGCTATCCTCTGCTTTATATCCCTACTCGTCCTTCCGTCCTGACTTATCTGACTGCTAGATACCTAAAATCAGTCACTTCTTCTAACCTTTCGTCTCCTAACTTTAAATTCACTCTTTCCCTACTTTTTCTCCCTTGCATACCAGAATTTTTGTTTTACTTTTATTTATTTTCATACAATACTGTTTTGTCAACACCTCTTCCATTTTATTTAAAGCTATCTCTAACTCCTCCTTGCTAGATGTTAATACTGCTATATCATCTGCACATCTAAGCATACTAATCCTTTGTCCCTGCATATCTATCCCTACAGTTGTACTGTCTTTAATGATGTTGATCACGTCTTCGATGAATAGATTAAAGAGTAGCGGTGACTGTGTGCATGATTGTCTGATTCTCTTCCTAATATCTACTTCTCTATGTCCAGTTCTATAACTTCCTGTTGCTCCTTATACAAACTAAGTATCACTCTTCTATCTCTGTAACTCATTCCTACATTTTTAAGTATATTTAATATCTTGCCCCATTTAAAATTGTCAAAAGCTTTTTCTAAATCTACAAATCCTATGTACGCACTCTTTCGTTTTCTCTATTGTTACACGTAAAACTAGAATGACCTCTCGCGTTTTTCTATTTATTCTAAACCAAATTTACAACTAAGTCCGCATAAAATAGTTAACATTGACAATTTTTATAATTGAAATTACTAGCAGTTTATGATAGGTAAATGTATTGTTTAGGCCCAACAACATGGTCAGAAGTATTTCCTGATGCTGCCGGCGAGAAACAGAGTCCCGTAGATATAAAAAAAACTGAAGTCAAACCTCTGAACTGCACCACTAAATTGACGTGGAAATATGTACCTGAAAATACAATAGATATTTCAAATCCTGGATATTGTTGGAAAGTCCATGTAAAAGGAACTGGATCTGGTAAGTTCTCTATCATGAACAGTAAAATAATCTAAGTCTTCTTCTGCCTTTTTCTACTCTTGCTTTTTCTTCTTATGTATATCTAACTTTTAATATGTCCCTCACTCTTCCGCATTGTAACTGTGATAACAGGAATCCTATCTAAGCCTTCCTTTGTCCATTTTTACTATTGTTTCTGTGTCTTATACGTCTCTAACTTCTAAGTCTCTAATTCACCCACAGCCCAACTCTCTGAATCCAATCTTGCCCCTCTTTTGTACCTAATACGTCTCTAGCTCCTAATAAGTTTCTAACTTTTCCACTCTGAAAACAGTCATTCAATCTAAGTACTCCTTTGTCCCTCTTTAGTAGCATTTTTGCTCCCAATGTGCCTCTAATTTCTAATATGTTTCTAAATCTCCCATATACCTAAGTCTCTGAGAACAATAAATAATCTACTCTACGCCTTCCAATTCCACTTTCTATTCCTGTTTCTGCTTCTAATATGCGTCTAACTTCTAATATATCTCTTACACTTCCGCATCCTAACTCTGATAGCAGTAATCCAATCTAGATCTTCTTTTGCTTTTATCTACTCTTGTTTATGTGTCTAAAACTTCTCTAACTTCTATTAAGTCTCTAACTCTTCCGTGTTCCTAACTCTCTGATTGCAGTAATCCAATCTAAGTCTTCCTTTGTTCATCTATAGTTATTCTTGTTTCTGAGTCTAATACGTTTGCAACTTCCAATAAGTCTCTAACTCTTTCACATCCCTAAATCTCTGAGAACATTAATCTAGTCTGGGTTTTCCACCTTCTTGCTCACTTTTAATAATCTTTTTCCAATTCCCAAATTACCTATCCCATTACTTCGCGAGTGCAGTAGTGAAAGGAGCGGTAACGTTGAGCTATTCTGTTTTTTAAATGTCTTTACCGCTTTTTTCGTCTTGACTTCCTTAATATCCAAAATCGTTGACTTGTTTCTAGTTTTTCGTCTCCATCAATGTTAATATTAACTTTAACTCTGCTTTAAACTCACTCACACGCTAATATATAGCAATAAACAAATAAATAAACATTAGATTTCGTTTCACTAAAGTTTAATTGAATCTAATCTCAAAATTGGAAATTTGAGTTTTGATACTATCAATTTTTTTAAACCTTTTGGTCTAATATAGGTAATAATTAATTAAATAATAAAAAATTTACAAAACAAGTTAGGTAGGTATGTAAAGTTTAAAGCAATTTAGGCATTAACCCACAATGAAATGATTGATTACAATTTTTATCCTAACTATTTTGCTATCTCTTGCAAGAATTATACGGTGGTCCACTTAAAGATAATTATCAATTGGAACAATTCCATTGTCACTGGGGGGCAGACGATGAGAGTGGGTCTGAACATAGAATTGATGGAAAAAGTTATGCCGGGGAAGTGAGTACATAAATTATATTTTTACATTCTTTTACATAAAAAAACTGCAGGAAACTAAGGAAGAACATATCTTTTTGTCGATTTCTTTGGATGATATAAACAATTTTTTTGTGTGTTTTAGATACATTTGGTTCACTGGAACACGAAATACAATTCTTTTGAACAAGCGTCACAACATCCAGATGGGTTGGCAGTGGTAGCAATATTTTTAAAAGTAAGTCAATATTTTCATTGTATATTAGCAAATATAGATTTATATATTTCAAATAAATATTTACGCTCTTCTATGATTCGTTCAATAAATACGTCACTCAACAGATGCACTTAATTTATTTGGTTTGTCATCATATTTCGAAAAATAAATATTTAATCACAGTGGGCGTTGTTAACTTAGCCAATATTCACTCACATTATTCATCTATTTTCCCAAATGATTTTTACGGTTAGGTACAGTAAGTAGAAGTATAAATTATATATAAGATTGACATTAGAAATGCTTAGTACTAGTCCTGTGGGAGAAAAAACGATACATGTTATGGGTCAAAATCAGAGAGGTGAAGAATTGGCTTCTGACAAAGATTTTCTTACTTTAATTAAACTATTATATAATTTTATTTTATTTAACATACTTTAATAATTCGTAATTATAAGCATCAGGAAAATTTGTCTGTATTTTTGAATAAAATTTACCCAAAAAATCATTCCGGAACGCGTCCGTAATCTATTCCGTGTTGTTCAAACAAAAAAAGCTTATACATCAAGCAAGCTAATAAAGGTACAGACCTAGATTTTAATTAAAAATGTCTTATATTTGCGTTATCTACGACTAATTATTTTTTTTCAATTCCAAATTAGCATTAACTAAAAAGGCATATATTTTTTTAAGTAGGATTCTCGTCTTGAAGACTTATATTTTCATATCCTAATGAAAATCAGAGAAATTTTGTAAAACCGAATCGATTAATGTGTTATTGAGATGTTTATTTGTTTAGTCAATTGTTTATTTTTCTAGATTTTTGTTAAAAAAATGGCAAATACTTCTTTCAAGTAAGATTATTTTCTTGTCTTATTTTGATATTATAATGAAAATCAATGTCAAAAAAGTTTAATTCCTTATTTACAGCTTTAAGGAGTGGAGTAATTTGTTTTTATAAACGATTAGAGTCGGAGCGTCTCTAATAGGTACATTGGACACATTTCTCACTTGAAAATCTTGAATGTTAACATAAAAATAATGATAAAACAACCACATTATCTACTACCAACCGAATTTGGATAAGTTCTTTGATAAATTATAGCCCCGTTAAATAATAACAATAAAGAAATGAATCCGGTGGCATTCGATAATCAAATTCTACTTGAAAAAAGTCTCTGCCTTTAAAAAAATTTAACGTTTCGCCATAAACAAATTAACACATCTCAGTAACAAATTTTACAAATTTTAATCTGATTAAGAATTAAAAGGGCTTTATCATAACGTCTTAAAAATATTTTTGCAATAAAAATTGCAATTTCAAAAAATTATTATTTTCAAGCGTTTTTTGCACCCAATCTTCTTGCCAATCTCTCCACAAAATCTCCCTCACTCCCACTGCATATTTATACTCCTCTATTTTTCTTAGATCCTTTCTCCTTATCATTTTCCAGAATCTCTTTCTCATCAATTCCTCTAAACAGCTCCCTCACCTGCTTCTGATTGATGTTTTATATCTTTAAAGACGTCTCCCTCTCTCTATCGTATTTATTTTTCGTTCCTATATCCAATACCTTCTTCCTCTTTCCCAGATATTAGTGTAGAACTGACATTTTCCCCCCACCTCCTGGATTATAGTAAAATATAGAGATACTCCTGATAAAGGCTTAACTTATTATCTTGTGTTTTAATAGCCTGGTAGAAAACACTTTGAACTGGATAAAGTGGTGGCTCAACTGTCAAAAGTCCAGTTTAAAGGAGAAAAAGCAATCTTCGTTATACCTCTTGACCCAGGAAGTCTTATTCCTCCTGAAAGTGGATACTGGACGTACCAGGGTTCCTTAACGACGCCTCCTTGCTCTGAATGCGTCACATGGATTATATTTAAGGAGCCTATTGAAGTTTCCAGAGAACAGGTAATAAAATAACAGTAAATGGAATATCTGAGACTATTGTATGTACCCTAGACAAATATTTTCAGTCTCTCTACAATCTCTCAGTCTTTCAGCGTCTCTGAGAGCGTCTCTCACAGTCTCTCAGTTATTGCCTAGGTGTTTTTATGGATCTCTCACAGTCTCTGTATGAGAGACTCGAACGATAAAGTTGTTAATTTAGAGATTTGAGTTTTTCACAGAGAGACTGAATAAATAAAACTGAAAAATTGAGAGACTAGTGTCTCTCGTAGAAAGACTGGGATCTCTAAAATATGTTGAACTTAGAAAATTTTAATCGTGTCTATCGAGACACCACTTATTGAGAGATTCGAGTCTTTCGTTCAGAGATTCGAATCTCTCGTTCAGAGACTGGATACAAAATGGAGATCTTTCTATGAACGACTCGAGTCTTTCGTTCAGAGACGCTAAACAGTTTTTTTGACAGGCTCTCGACAGTCTCTCCTAGCGACACCAGAGAGACTTTCTTTTTTTAATTATACTTTTTAGCAGGATCAGACCATCGTCACTCCCACTTAATATCTCCTTACAATCATTCAAATCTTTAATTTTCTCACATACTCCCAGCACATGCATCATTGTTTCATCTCCCCTTTCACATATCCTACATGTCATTTGTTCTTCTTCCACTTCCTTCATTCTATTCAGATAGTCTGGCAAACAATCTCCCTGCCAATGCTCTCATGGCAACGCCTTTAGACATTCCACATATCTCGACTTATTAATTCTTCTTAGGTCTTCTTCCCTTATCATCTCTTATCATATTACTCTCATCATTTCCTCAACACGTACCCCCACTCGGCCCCATTCATTCAATAGTTCCTGATTCAAATTTAAATCGTCTATTGCACCATCCCTCTCTTTATCATACGTGGTTTTTGTTCCAGTATTTAAAATCCTTTTCCTTCATAATTCCTTTCTTATATCCTCATCCATAAGCTTTTCAAGTTTTATCTCATATTGTACCACCCTTTTTCTGGTTTCCTCTACCATCTTCCCCCATTTTAATTCCCTCCCTCATCTGAGACTATTGTAATTAAGCTTTTCTTTTGTTAATGTGAAACTTCTTACCGACTATAAACTGCCTCAGGTTAATGAGGGAAAATTTGTTGTTGTTTTCACACCCTCGCCGGGAAGCTTTTTCTTGTTGATGACGTTTTATGTGGAAAGGGCAGTAAAAATGCTAAAAGGAAGAGGGGAGTACACTGTTTATTAAAATCAGTCCGATTTTTGTATTTTTGTACTTTTAAAATAATTCGAAGAGTTTTTTAAATAGTATACGTTCGACGATTTCACAATTATTGTTTTCAGAGTAAATATCACCGAAGGGGCTGATATAAACGAGTTTACTAGATATTAGGGCATTTTCATTATGTAGTTAAATATTTTTTGCCGACTATTATCTGTTTCTATTCAAAATAAATAATTAAAAACGCTCAAAAGGTAATTTTGCTTATTTTTTTTAAAATACACCAAAATATTGTTGTCGATTAGCACAGCGACGAAGAGGTCAATAAAAGTGCTATATATTTATTAAATTCATTTTACAGAATGAGAAAAATTCGCTAAGAAATGGTTTATTTTAGTTTTAAAGTCATAATTATGAAAAAACACTTAAAGATACATGCAATAACTGGATGCGGCCCTGGAAAATTTCGGTGGGACACTACCTGCCGATTGACTAATAACAACTTCTCTCAACACTCACCACTTGGTGATCAACGCGTTGACGTTTGCCTATCTTGAAAGTGAACAGAGTATAGGCACCTATATTTTTTAGAACACTTTCTTTATTAATAAACAATACCCACATTTTGTTAAGCAAATATTTGTTATTATGTCAAAGACAGTATTTTTGTTACCCTTCTCGGAAAATCTTTATGTTTTGGAAAATAACAGGAGTTCAGATTCAAATATTTCTGGGAATAAACTTTTAAGCATAAACAATAATAGGAAAAGAAAAAAAAGAAAAATAAAAAAGCAGCACATTTTATTTTTTTACATCTATTTATTTTTATCACTGTACATGAGCAGTTTTTTTTCTGTTTTTAACTTCCGATTTATTTTCAAGCTGAAAGCTTTCCGTAAACTTCGCTGCTACTGTCGAGATGACACTTGCCCCTGCGATCAGTATGAAGGGTTCGTCAAGGACAACTTCAGACCACCTGCGCCCCTTAACAACCGGGAAGTCCGGGAATACAGTCCTACAAGAGAAATATGCTTCAGTTAAAAAAATGGATCCTTTTATAATAATTAGATCGTAGTAATAAACAATAAAATATTTGTAAAAATAGTACTGAAAATATTTATTATTATAAATTATAAATAAAAAATTGAAATTATATAAATATACTTAGTGTCTGTACTAATAACAAGTCAAAAAAGTAAACTTTTCTAAACAATGCTGCGTTTGCAAAAGAACAAGTGGGATAATTGTCTTTCTAGTCAAAGATGAATGCAACAAACGTCCGCATAAGAACGAATGGCATGATCGTCCTTTAACTTTAAGGCGAGTGCAACCAAGTTCGCATACGAATGATTGGGATGATTGTCTTTCTAGTCAAAGATGAGTGCAACAACGAATGGGATGATCGCCCTTTGAGTTAAATGTGAGTGCGACCAAAGTTGGCATAGGATCGAGTGGGATGATTGTCGTTCTAGTTAAAAGCGAGTACGACATACGTCCGCATAAGAACAAGTGGGGTGAATATCATTCTAGTCATAGGTGAGTGTGATAAACGCTAGAATAAAAACGAGTGGGATAATTGTCGTTCTAGTTAAAGGCGAGTGCGAAAAACGTTGACATAAGAACGAGTGAGATAATTGTCGTTCTAGTTATAGGCGAGTGCGACAAACGTGCGCATAACAACGAGTAGAATGATTGTAGTTTTGGTTAAAGGCGAGTGCGACAAACGTCCGCATAAGAACGAGTAGTATTATTGTCGTTCTAGTCATAGGCGAGTGCGACAAACGATCGCATAAGAACGAGTGGGATAATTGTCGTTGTAATCATAGGCGAGTGCGACAAACGTTGGCATAAGAACGAGTGGGATTATTGCTGTTCTAGTCATAGGCGAGTAGACAAACGTTGACGTAAGAATGAGTGCGATAATTGTCGTTCCAGTTATAGGCGAGTGCGACAAACGTCCTCATAAGAACGAGTGGAATGATTGCAGTTCTAGTTAAGGGCGAGTGCGAGAAACGTCTGCATAAAACTAATGGGATGAATGTTGTTTGAGTGAAGGGTGAGTGCGACAAACGTGCCAGGTCGTGCGAATACAGTGTAAAACAAGGATTTCCATATCCCGAAACATAAAAAATTATTATAAACTAAAAAAGACCAACTTACAATTTCGTACTACAAATAATTTTTGAAAAATCGACACGCGCTTTATGTTAAGTGCAAAACAGTGTGAATTTTGGTTTAGTGTATATTTCAAAAATATTAAAAATTAAATTAATTAAACTCTCTGAATCCAATNGTTAATTTTGCTTATTTTTCTTAAAATACACCAAAATATTGTTGTCGATTAGTACAGCGACGAAGAGGTCAATAAAAATGCTATATATTTAGTTTTAATTTCTTTATAGGTGTATTTTTCACATTTTATTTATTGTCACTAATTTCTATTAATTGATAAACAATAAAAATCTAAACAAATAATAAAAAAGATTCTAACTTAAAAACTTCTGTTTTTTTAACAATTTCTTATTATAATAAAAAAATGCAATATGCTTAGCGTAAATAAATAATTTAAAAGAAATCATATATGACCCTTAATAAGAGGTTTTTAGAGCAACTGTTTACGTTACTGCACATGGTATTTGCTTTTAGCATTTCAATGTTCAAATATGAGATAAAATTTATAGTTAAGTCGCGAAATATCATACGCACTAGTTTTGTTACCTATTCATTTGGAAAATCCAAGATAAAACACTTATGGGTATACCTACGTATTTTGTTTTTGCTTTGCGAATATATAAAGATGCTCTTGTTTGTACAGGGCTTTGAGATAAATGGGTAGTCTACTTCTTATTTGCACTTTTGTTTAAAAATAATAAAAACAATACCACAAATAAAAAACGTTTGCAAATATAAAAGGATAAATAATTATATCATCAGTCATCACGTTTATAAATAAATTTGTTTAATAACATGTGTTACCATTATTGTTCAGATATATAAACGACAGTGATATGTCGTGGGTGAATTAGAATATTCAATTATGATGGATTTCATTTATTACCACCTTCGTTGTAGCGAGCATTTTACTGTAGCGGCGTCAAATCTAAGGCCCTTGAATTTAAAACAAAATTCATGTGACTATAACTTCGGATGTAACGCCGATTTCGGGTGTAGCAACTTTTGGTAATGAATCGTTTGTATGAAATTCCTAGAAATCTCACACAGATATAGCGACTGGAGTCGGTCGCCTGATAACTTTTACAAAACGCTCAAAAGGTAATTTTGCTTATTTTTTTTAAAATACACCAAAATATTGTTGTCGATTAGCACAGCGACGAAGAGGTCAATAAAAGTGCTATATATTTATTAAATTCATTTTACAGAATGAGAAAAATTCGCTAAGAAATGGTTTATTTTAGTTTTAAAGTCATAATTATGAAAAAACACTTAAAGATACATGCAATAACTGGATGCGGCCCTGGAAAATTTCGGTGGGACACTACCTGCCGATTGACTAATAACAACTTCTCTCAACACTCACCACTTGGTGATCAACGCGTTGACGTTTGNACAAAAATGTATATAAATTAACAATGGAAAACAAAGCAAAAGTTTTATAGGTGTGTAGAACGTTAAGTCAATTCACTTGTTATTATTTTTGGCTAAACATGCTTTTAAATAAAACATATTCGTAAATTTTAACAAGGCAGTTTAAATAAGTTTGCAAATGGTACTGTACTGCTTTCGCTCGATGATCGGTGGAGAAATGAGCTCCGCAGACAAATATGATTGAATTTGGAATTATGCTACGGCACATCCTAATAAAGGGAAGAGGCTCTCTACCTTCTTGAAACGAACAGTAGACTTGTTGATCTTTGGGTTAATTAGATAACGGGGAGCAGTTTGAAATACGACAGGTGGTAGGAAAAAACTTTTTCAACTTTAAACGCTATTTGCCGATAAATAAAAACACTTAGCGACTTCGAACAAGTTTCATTTGTTAGATAATTTAAGGGGGAACAAAAAACTACTTAGATACATTGGCGAAAGATGCGGAGGAGGAAAATACGTATAAGAATCATGATAAGAAGAAATGCACGATAATTTTTAGTCCTCGCTGTGTACTGGTCAACTTATTGGTAAATCATTGAAGTCGCTACAAGTTGACACCAGGATGATATCACACATCCGTGGCATATATTTATAGTTTCCTTTAATTAGGCGATTGTAGATCATTTTTAAATGAAGGGAAGTTATAAATTATTGACCTTATGATACAAAATGGAATTTTTTTAATTGAATTGCTTTATATTTAACTACAAAATAGCGATAATGCGTTCTATTCCATAAAATTGGAGTTGAGCCAATATCTCTGTTTATTATCATTTCAAATTTATTGAACCTTTTGAAAATTTGATATGTCATTAAAATACAACGTTGATCGTGTCGCGAAACGATTAATGCACTTTTTCTAAAATGTCACCCAGCTGAGTATATATTGCAACATTTTCGCCGTACTTGCCAAGAATTGTTCAAGTACGCTGCAAGTATCGCTCCAAAAATAAGCAGGGTTTTGGCCTCGCTTTTCAAACGAAAATTGTACCGTCTTTCAATTCCTCAGAAGAATTTATATTTAGCTTAAGTGTCAAAAGCTTATCGATCTCTTTTCATGAGTAAACATCTTAATGCTTTGGCGCTGCAGACAAATATCTGTAAAAAATATTGTTGTTTTTTTTTTTGAGTGCAACGAACTGTGCCATTCAAAGCACAATTTTGCAGAATAGATCGCTGACATAGGACTCATCGCCTTGCTGATGGTTAGTTATCGCAGAGTCGCAATATTGTAATATTCTTACAGAAATCTTCATCATCATCATAAGGTCGTCAGTCCTAAGACTGGTTGGACCGCACCTTCACTCCTTCTTATCCTGAGCCAATCTGCGCATTTCCTTGAAACTAGAACATCCCACATCCTTAACTATTTGCGAACAGTATTCTAACCTAGGTCTACCTCTACTCCTCTTAACTCCTGTTTCTGCCTCTAATATGTCTCTGACTAGACCTTCATGTTTGAGAAGGTGTCCTACCAACCTATCTCGACATTGACTTCCATAGAGTCCTCTGTTCTTCTAATCTTTCTAATACCTTTTCATTTCTAGCCTTCTCTATCCATGGCATCCTTACCATTCGTCTGTAACACGACATTTCGAACACTTCTAACCTTTTCTTTTCCGTGGGGCCCATCGTCCATGTTTCGCACTCATACAGCGTCGGGCTCCAGTCATACATCCTTAACAATTTCATTCGAATTTCTAAATTAACCGTTCGCGAGCATAGAAGTAACTTCTTTTTACTTGACCTTGCGCTATCCTCTGGTTTATATCCCTTTTACTCCTTCCTTTTTGACTTCCTAGATACCTTAAATCAGCCAATTCTTCTAATTTTTCGTTTCCTACCTTTATATTCGCTCATTCCCTACTGTTTCTTCCCTTGCATACCAGTATCTTTGTTTTACTTTTATTTATTTTCAGAAATTAATGTTTTGTCAATATCGCTTCCATTTTATTTAAAGCTATCTTTAACTCCTCCTTGCTAATACTGCTATATCTGCAAATCTAAGCATGCTAATCGTTTAGCTCTGCATATCTATCCCTACGGTTGTACTGTCTTTAATGATGTTGATCGCGTCTTCAATGTATAAATTAAAAAGGAGCGGTGACAGTGTGAATCCTTATCTGACTCCCTTCCTAATACCTACTTCTCTACTTTGCTTCTCCAGCTCCATATCCCAATACAGTCTTAGTTACCAATTTTCATTAGGTAGGTTTTTTGGTATACTATACTTGTTTAGTTTTTCTCTGTTACAATTACCCGGCAATACTTCTACCTGATCTTTACTTGTCATTACCTATTCCAGTGCTACTTTTTTCTCTTCATTATATCTATTTTTCTTACCAAAACCCATAGGTTTGCATTTTTATATAACTTTTCCGAATCTCTCTCTTACTTATGTGTGTCTCACTTAACAGATTTTGTTAACTTGACAGGTTTAGGTACTCTTAATCTCTAAACGTTCATATTGTTCATAAAAAGTTTCGTTTCAAAAACAAAACAATTGACGTTACAA